TTTGTTCTTAACAAGTTGTTTTTTAGCAGACAATTTTTGTTGTAAAATTTTTTACTATATTGATTTCTGCTACTCGTTGATAACTAACATTTAAAAACTATTTTAACAACATCATACTTTAAAATGATCAATGTTAAAGTCTGAATATTAATTTACTGATTTTGTGAGGATTAACTACTAATCTTTTAAAATGAAGGGCAAACTTTAATGTATCTTTATTATTTAGTTTTAACACCACATTTGCTGAATTTTGAAAATGTAGTTTTGCTTTGATAGTAAGATAAATGAAACGAGGTCGGTTCTGTTTCACTGTATTATAACAACTACAAAAGAGATTAAGATACATATAAGACTAAGTACAAATATAACTGTATTTAACATGAACAACATAGAACATCTCGTTGTATTTTCTAGTTTGTGAATGATAGACTTTGTTTTTGAACTCTGCTCTGATGGTTTCTAAATGTTTTTTTGTCTTTCTCCTCAACTTACTAACAGATTCCTTTTGCCGCCATGATTTGCATCAATAACTCCACTTCCCTTCATTTAAAGAATGCCTTTTGTGTGTTTCAGGCTCCAGCCTCCGTCCTCCCGTCCTCACTGTCTTTCCTCCGTCCAGTGCTGAGCTGCAGTCCAACAAAGCCTCTTTGGTCTGTCTGTCCAGTCAGTCTGGGCCTTTTGCAGATGTGACCTGGATGTCTGGAGGGAGTCCAGTGGTCACTGGGATCTCTACCAGCACCGCTGTTAAGCAACCTGATCAGACGTTCCACATCAGCAGCTATCTGGCCATCCAGGCGTCAGACTGGAACATGGATAAGGTTTACACATGTAAAGTGTCTTTGGGCTCCCAGACTGCAGAGAAAAACATCAAGAAGTCTGAGTGCCTCACTGAACAACAGTAGAGGAGCAGAAGGACCATTTAACATCTGCTTCTTCCCTCTTTGTGCTGTTTATTCATCACGAGCGTTACATGTTAGAACATGTGTCTCCACGCTTGTAGTACATGTTGTTGACAGTTAGGTAGAGGTGTTGTATCCGCTTTGCAAACGGTAAAATGTAGTAAAACCTTTTGAATAAAAAGCATTTTGTAAAACAATATCTTTCTTGTCTCTTTATCGCTGACAGTTCAAGAAAATGCATATTATACTCATAGTATTCTTTGACCTCAACTAAACTTCTGATCTCATACTACGTGAGTTATGAAATACTATCATGAAATAGTTTATAGTGGAATTTTCGTTCTGAAGGTAAAAAATGTGACACAGGAATCCAGAACCATAAAATTGTAACATTTTTGCAAACAACCATCCGCCGTTTTTTATTTCCACAAGGTAAAATGTTTTAAAAAGCACGGTCAGAAAAGATCTACATCTTTTATGTGCTGCAGTCAGACATTGTCAAGTTGAGGATTTCATTAAACATTGTTGAATATTGAGTTTGAAAGATTGGCGTCTGAAAAAAACAGACGTTTGGGAAAGTTTTTAAAGCTGTCATATTTTTGAGGCAAATACTATTTACCATACTTACTGTATTATTGACTAAATGGTGGAGTTTTAAATGCACAGAAATGTATAATTTCCACTAATCAAGTTTTATGTGATGCAAGCTTATGTTTCTTGCATCACATAATAAAACTTATTCTTATTCTTTTGTTGTATTTGTTCTTCAAGTCGTATTTGAATGTCTTCTAGTAACAATAATAATCCCAGTGTTGCAAAAAGGTGTGTTAATGTTTTTTGTAAAGAACATCAAAATGATAAAACCAGTCTGTGTCTGTCAGATTATCTTTGAAGGAAAGCTTATCATCTATTTTTTGTTTAGGTGTGTATACAAATATTATGAATATAAATAACTACCACTTTAAATATCTGTTTAGATGAAATATTAGTCAGAAACTGACTGATGGCTTTACTAAAAATGTGTCAGCGTCTCAAAAAGCAGAAGTACTCAGTGAAGAGGTTTTTGTCACAGTGTAAATCACTGTGATACGGACTCTTTAACAGAGTCGTCCCATGTGTTACAGTAATAGACGGCTGAGTCTCCCTCCTCGATGTTCTTTATGGTCAAACGATAATCTGAGGTTGACTGATGAGTGGATGTGAATTTTGGAGATGAGAAAGGAAGGAAGGAAAGGAACTCCTCCTGGAATCTGTTTATACCAGCGAGCACCACTGTTAGTAACAGTCCCGAGCTTACAGTCTATGGAGACTGTCCCCATGTATCTAGTTGGTTATGCAACATAGAATTTGAGTATAATACAACTGCCTTCCTGATCAAGCGGCATGCTGTCCGGGACCATTAGAATATGCTCAAAGATCATAGCCCGCAGCCCTTGTTTGCTCCCCACAAGAGTTTATTGAGCTTGCATTACCTCTGACCTTTACAATATGTGGTGGGAATAATAACAGATTCAGAGAGGCGGCTCCAGTTATTATATAAATCAAACAGATTGGAAGCTAACCCAGAAAGAAACAATCAAGCGCTTGTGAGTCACGCTCATGGTAGTTTCAGTGGTGGAGATGATATTTGAAAGCATGTTTCTCTTACTGGATTTGGTCACTGATACGTATGTTGTAAATACTCATAATGACAAAAGTGACAAACTATTTTATCTAACATCAAAGCAGCAAGCACATGCTATTCCTCTTTCATGTTACATCTGCCACACAGTTTGGACAGCAAGTGCAGATTAATTATTCTACTTTGACTTTTACGTCACTCATTTGACCCCGGGGCTCCGGGTTAAGCGCTTCTGAGCAGTTCTGGTTGTAAACGCGCAGACAACCGTGGCCTCGGGTTTCTGTCTTTAAAATCTGCCATCCGTCAGCATTTATCCACATAGAAACCCCGAAATCCACCAACACCCCCCTGGGCAACTCCCCTCAACAGCTGAGATTTGTTCTACCATGAAAGCAGCTGTCTACTGCGACAACAGCTGGGCATTTTGGAGGGAAGAGAGGACGTGGAGAGAGAGAACCATTGGAAACCTTCCCTGGTTTCAGAGAAAGCAACAGCGTTGTCGAGATGAGTGATGCATGTACATTGCGAGACTATGATGTTTACTTGTGCACCATATGTGATTGTGCGTGTCGCATCCAACATGTGAATATGGCAGCACTGGCACATTGAACGGTCTATAAATACAAACCGTGGAAGCGCTTTGTATCTAATCAAGATTCAAGGCGCCAATCACATTAAACCTATTTTTTGCGATGTGTGATTCAGCTGTAAAGAATAAATAAAAATTATATAATTTCAACTGTTTAATTAGGAGAAAATTACAGCCCTCTTTACCGGGTGCAAGCCTCCATGGAGCTGCTCCGTCTCCATGACAACAGGTTAAACGGTCTGAAAAGGGTGGGTAAGAGCAGTGCACTTGAAAAAAAACATGTCATAATGACCTCAGGGTCATCCATCCGCAGGCGGCGCGCCCAAAGACATTTGTCAGTTTACCCATGGTCAGGTGCCCTGAATGTGGGCCGGGTGGCGTGCAGCAGTCCGGCCAGTCGCTCAAACCAAAGTCACAGCAACTGTTGATCCGTTGGCCGCGCTTTCTCTCAGCTGCCTCCGACCCGGGTGCAGTGAGGAGGGGCGGGGGGGGCGCATCCTGTCAGCCGGTACCCCTGTTTGTCAGGCCTTGGCGAGGTCATCCATCAGTGGACTGGTGCCGCCTGGTACTCATTCGCTCTCCCAGGCGTCTTAAATGAGAGAAACAAAGTGAGTGTGTGTGTGTGTGTGTGTTGGTTTGTGTCTGTGAGGGAGAGGAAAATGAGTGGCATTAGTGCTGCTAGTTTATAGTGTGCAATATATGGTTTGGAGGATAGGTTTTAATTGAAAAGAAATCCTGGTGTGGATCTTTACAATATAAACTGCATTGTATTAAACTTGACCTGAATTACTTAGCCTTTGTGGTTTGATGTATTCATACCTGCAGTCCCTCCCATTATCCCGATTATTACTTCACGACTGACTTCTCAGTTGACGT